GTGTGTGTGTGTGTGTGTGTGTGTGTGTGTGTGTTATGTCGGTTGGATTACTCAGGCATTGGGCCAGTGCATTTTGTCAGTCCCTCCTTCAAAACTGGAACGACTCTATGCACAGGTGGGCTGGGATTTTGGTTTCTTAAACACATGCACACACAGACAACAATGGGCCTTCTGTAGCTATAGACAAAGTCTGAGTGTTTCCTCTCTAAATGGGCATCGCCGATCTCTGTGCCAAAGTGCTCTGGCAGTCTGCAAGCATACTGGCTGGTCTTGCACAACCAGACAAGTCTGCTCCACTTTGCCGTGCATTTGGCCAAAATTCACCCACTGAGATAGGAAACCATTGTTTGACTAACATCTAAAGCTATAAACCACAGATTTGTTTCCAGGCGGACTGATAAAATAAGCTGTGCACCCCGACTCTTAGAAACCAGCCAATCAGATTAGTGCTTGCCAGATCTAGAAAGTGCTTTCCAGCATGTGCAATATGCCTCAGACAGTCAGTGAACTGACTTTTTTAGATATTAAACGTTATGAAATGTTTAATTATTAAAATGCTATTTCATTTAATCTGTTTTATGTGAAGTAGTTCAGACCATTCAAATTAAAGTTTATTTAATCATAAATCTACAAAAGATATATTTGTTTAAGCAGTGTATAGAGACTTATATAACTTAGTACAACATTGTTCAGAATCATATTAGCAAAAGGTAATTCAACTATAATCTTTCTTCTAAATGAGTAGTATGCATATTTCAAAGCGTAGTATGCTGTATATATTTGTTTATATTTAAGTCATTTTTGTTTATGTTAGATAATTAAATGTGGGACTGTCCAATTATTGTCATTAATTGTGAGCACATTATCTGCACAGAGTCTGTGTGATCTCATGGCACTCTTTAAGTAAATGAGCTAGAACGTTAACAGGAAGTACAGCTTAAGTGCTTCAAAGAGCCTCTCATGAGCATGTGTTATTCCTTGCGTTCTTCTTTCTCTTGGGTGCACTTCTTCTGGATCTCTTCTTCACAGACTAAAATAGAAATAGAGCTGTAGTTCCAACATTTGACACTAAATTGTCAGATAATGTATATTTTTAAGAGAACTCACCTTTAATGCAGCCACTTTGGGATGGGACACACCCTCAAAGTGTCTATGAACACTTACGACCTGTCATGGAGATCCAGTTTCTTATTTTATTTTTTAAGCCTTTTTGAAAACATACTGTACTGTAGCAGCAAGATAGTACAGTGGTATTAGAAAATAATACCATGGTGCGCTCTTAAAAATAAAAGTTCTTTATTGGCATTTATGGTTCCATTAAGAACCTTTTTTTTTAAGAATTGTTCTATGGTTCTTTAATGGAAATAACTGTGAAAAGCCCCCTTTTGGAACCTTTATTTATATACCATTTTGATAAATTGCACTACTAATGGCCTTTTAAGTCTAATTTGTGTTAGACTATCACTTTGATTATTTGTGTTGATGATATTTTGATTGTGGATACACACCTGCAGTGGGTTGGTTGCGTGGTTATGGGAAAGAAGTGAGTAAGAGCCGATGCGAGATCTGTGGGGCTTTTTTTTACTAGCAATCAAATGTCGCCTCGACCTGTCAGGCTAAAGCACAGAACAGAAAGTATGTGAGCGTTTATTTTATTTTATTTTCTGTTTTTGTCCAGTGTATAAAAGTGTTACTGTGTTACATGAATGCATTCTCTCACCTGGATGAGTGTGTT